AATATATTTATTGCTAGATTAATAATTTGTACGAACAAGTGTAGCTGATATGGAGAAGAGATGACAAAATCAGTATACGAATTGTATATATCTTGAACATAACTCGAGACTAAGATTCCTAGAGAATAAAATTCTATTTCTCTTATAAGAAATAGAAGGGAATCCTTTTCGAGTTTATCTAAGTATCTTTATGCTAATATGATGAAGGGATGATGAGTGGCAAAGTCTCGGATAGGCTGTGATCGACATCTAACTTTGTAGACGACTACACTATCAAGCGAAGTGCTAATTAATTGTCAATTGATTGGTTATTTGCTAATTAGCAATCGGATCGGGCAAAACAAATAAAATCATATTTCTTATAACGACGTCGATGTATGAGAATTGGGATATTAAATGTCATTATCTCATTGCAAGCGTCTTGTATCGATCAGATTCACGAACATCCAGTACCTATATTTTATTCTCCATATTAATCCCTTTTCTTAAATCTATTTGTATGAAAAACATTTATTATAGTATTAAGAAGATATTAAACCTTTAAGAGTCTACGCGGATTATTTATCCTGTAGGTTAAACAAAGACATCTATCGTATAGGTCACAGACTAAGCGCACGGTGTAAACGTAGCCTATATCTAGGGGAAAAAATAAGCCAAGTTAACCCGATTCGGAATACACCTGCTATAAGTTGTTTTCTAGTTATACGTTTATGTCAAGCGCTGCTTTCCATTTGATGACACAAATCGACACAATCGTCGTTCTATCCTTTTTGGACATTCAGAGAGTGACAAGGATAGAACGATACTTGTGTCGACTTGTGTCTCTTAAAAGGAAAGCAGCCATTATGTGTCGAGCATGGTCAAGCATGGAAAGCACCCAAGTCTGTCGATTGGCTATAGGATAGAGAGATCCGAGGATCTCTGTCTGTTTTACACACATTTGTGCTAGCTTTTCTTTTTTTCGAGAGTTGGCAGCACTGCTTTACTAGGAGTAGAGTAGGAGTGACAGGAGATTTGTTCACGATCGAATGTGATTGTATTTAGAAGTTTACACATATTTGACAATTCAATTTGTTAAAAATTACGAAAAATGGCTTACGTGGATAATGTTCTTCAATCGTTCACAACTACTGCACCACATAATACGATACCAGATTGGCTCAATTCAGAGCAAAGCACAGGGGTGAGTTATTGGTATGATGCGGTTTTAGGTTATAATGACATTGCAAAGTTGAGATTGATAGATTAAAGCCAAAAAACAAACCGATAAATATTAAGAATATCTCGTTTACCTCAAATTTTAATAAAAGTGTATTCAATCGTATGCGTTTTCGCATAAAAATAAAGATTTGATAAAAAAAAAAGTGTCGTTCTACCCTGCAAAGTATTCAGACTGATTCTACAATGATTCTACAATGAGTCGGAAATCTTACCGGTGTTCTACATTTACACGGCACCTTTAATCAGGTTCAATAACATCCGTAGTTATGAAACAAGCTAATCACAGTCGTTCCACTCTTCTGAAGAACAACTATGATTGGCTAATTTCATAACTACGGATGTTATTAGTTTTTTAATTTTTACAAGTTTTTTTTATGAATAAAGTACACTTGATTAGGATTGAACTAAAAATGCTTCTGTAAATATTAACTGACTTCAGCAGAAAAAGCAGTTTTGCAACTGTTGTAAAATTCTTTAATATGATTGGTCTTACCCTTAGTTCTTCACTGGCTTTAAATATATAAACCAATCATATTCAAGAATTTTACAACAGTTACAAAGCTGCTTTTTCTGCTGAATGCAGCCATTATAATATAGACACACAGCTTTTTTTTTAACATGCAATTTTGAGAATGCAAATGTACAAAACATTTTTCGTTCAATAAAGTAAAGGCTCAAACACAATGAACAGAATAAGGAATATAAAATTGAATATGAAGAATTAGAATTATTAGAAATGAACAGGCAAACAATATGATTTTTCGTCTTTACTCTTTTTTTCTAACTCTTAATGTTTAATTTCATTTTCCTTGTTCTGAGCCCTAACATTATCCATATCACTTAATTGGTTTCTGTTTTTATTAATATTCAATGTTTAACAGAAAAAATTTCATTATTCATAAACATAAATTAATTTCAAAATTCATAAACTAATAGAAATCGCATAAATTGTCATGACAATGGAAAAAATATATTTCTTATGTCATTAGAAAATTTAGTTTTAATAAATAAAAAAATGGGGGATAATCATATCTTAGAGCAGGAATTTAACGCCACGCGTCGATCGTATGTAGCTATTGCCGTTTGTGATGAACAACTCCCCGCGCGTCTAGCAACCTTGAACACTGGACCGCGCGTTTGCATTTAGCAGTGGACCGGCCGAATACGCATTTCTTTAAGGAAATTAATTTGTATTAAGAAATTAATATCTCATTAACCCTAGCTATACACACTGAGATCCCAGAAACTCCAATGTAATTTATTAAATCGAGATTTTTTCGTGTTTCTGAACTTTTCCTTTTCTTTGAACCTATATATCTCGAAGCTCCTTATTTCTATCGACTTTTACACATTATAGACTTATTCCTTAATAAATTCTCCACCGATTGAAAAAAAAATTAATTGAAATATGTCCATTTTTACGGAAATTACGGTAATAAATATGGATGGGTTAATTATTGCGAAATGGTAGAGAACTTTTGGACTCACACACACAGTTTGGAATCAGTTTAGTCCACTGTACCTGTCCACAAGCGTTGTGTCAATAATTATGGGACACCCTGTGTATATCTCTAAAAATCCTTAAATATTCTTTATTTGTTTCTTTTAAGTTTTGAAATTAAAGATTACCTAATTATTTAATAATCATTTCATTAAAATTAAAATACAAATTATGAAAAAAATACAGCTACGAAGTTATTAAGTTTGCAGATACAATAATAAATGCTTTATTTGCATTTTGCATGCATTGAGATATCCTCCAGTTTATGAACGTTTTAAGCCGTGTTCTGATATATACTGTCAGTACCGAAAATTTATAGTTCACTTTACGTATACTATTGATTTTCGGTGCTGGCAATGTATATCGGAACATAGCTTTAATATTAATATAAAATCCAAGTTTTAAAGATCAAATTGCCAATGTGCTGTGTGGATAAAAATAAGAAAGAATGTTATGTAAACATGAGTCCAGGATAACTTTATTAAAATAAGTTCACAAAAATGAAATGTATAGTTATATAAACATTTTTGTATTTTTACCTACTAAATTCACTGGCGTAGTTTACGGTTAAAATCTGTATTATTATAGATTATGTTGAATTTAATTGTTTTCTATATATATTTACTTAAATAAGCAAAAAGATATATTTTAATGTGAAATATATTTATTAGAAATTAAAAAAGAAAAAGATTATTTATGAAGAATTATCATATCTGAAAAAAAACTGACTCAGAAATAAACAATTGAACAAAATTGGTAGCTTTTATAAGTAAGATATATATTTGTTATTTATATTTACACACTCTTCTATCACTTACAAAATCTTATTCAAAGATCTGCAAAGAGAAAAAATTACGAGTTTATTACTTGTCCTCTTATCTTAATTTATGAATTTATTATTAACTCCACGTCAGAATGATGCAATGTTTAGCTGTCTTGCAATCTATTTACAGACCTCAATTATGGCATGTGAATTTAATGGTGGCGTGGTAATAGGTGCTGATTCTCGAGGTACAACAGGGTAAAGTATAATTATTTAACAAAGCAATCTAATTTTAACTTACATAATTTAACTTACATATAATGTTAACTTGCATAATTTTTTTAGAACTTATGTCTCCAATCGTTTTGCCGATAAATTAACGAGAGTGACAGATTATATTTATTGCTGTCGATCTGGTTCGGCAGCAGATACTCAAGCAATTTCGGACATTGTAGCTTATCATTTAGGATTACATCAGTAAGATATTAGAGGACATTCATAAAATTATTGCATCTATTCTATCTAATCGATATTAAGATGTACTTTTATTAAGATGTATTTTTTTAGGATGGAGCTTGGAACGCCACCTTTAGTAGAAACTGCTGCCAATGTATTCCGTGAAATATGCTATAACTACCGAGATTCTTTAATGGCCGGGATCTTAGTTGCAGGATGGGATAAGCAGAAAGGTGGTCAGGTTTACAGCATTCCTATAGGCGGTATGTGTGTTAGACAGCCAATTTCAATTGGCGGTTCAGGCTCAACGTATGTCTATGGCTATGTGGATGCTAAATACAAACCCAATATGTCGAAAGATGAATGTCTTGAGCTGGTAGAGAACAGTAAGTATTGTAAAAAAAGATTCAGCAATTTACAAACTAATGACTTCGTTTCTTTTAGCACTTGCATTAGCAATGGCTCGTGATGGTAGCAGCGGCGGTGTAATACGAACTGGTGTGATTACAGAGAAAGGAATTGAGAGAAAAGTCATACTAGGCAACGAATTGCCACGCTTTTATGAAGGGTGAAAATTATGTCATTCAATGTTTATCACAATATGTTTAATATAAAATGTATTTCTAGAGATTTCTGCGAGATATATGCCGCATTTGCTAATTAAAATTAAAGGAAAAATTGTAATTCAATGTTTTTCTTTTTTTTCCTCAATATTCATCCTGGGAATACAATAAATATTCTTATTCTAACAAGCAATAAGATATAACGATATTGTATGGAAAATTTTAATTACTGTTCATGCGAATCATTTAGAAAAATTTATCACATACTGGGGTATTATTATACTTATTATTTTTATACTTATTATTGTATAATATTCTAATTATGAAATATTTTTAGGCATTTTTACACAAGAGACTTACATAGTTTTATATAGAAAGATTTACGTGCTGAAATCGCGCAGCTGTTAATTTAATCAAATATATATCAGTATCTTCTACTAAATTTAGATCGTATTATCCACTTGCGAGTCTTGTAACTGCGAGGTATATCCATTAGTCGTTCGTTTTGTACTCCATACTTTGTGCCTATTGTCAGTTTAATTAGAAGATTGTCACAATGACACTATCGTGATGCGCGTAATCGCGGCGCGGCGCAACGCTCCGAACTCTTTTAGGTTCCGCCATAGTTCGCGTGATCTTTGTCAAGGTAGTCGTCTCTTGGCTTTCGCGATAGATTCATCATCACGCCATCCTTATTTGTTAATGACGACCGATTCATCCTAATGTAGTCTTTACCTTATTAATAATCTTGCGCACGTTTATATTTTTAAAACTAAATTATTGTCGGTTTATTTTACACACCTATGAAATACAATCTCTAATCAATATTTCGCAATACGAGTGATAATTTGTCATTTCAATGTTTAATAATTATAGTTCGTTTTTTTTATTCACGCGCTAAAGTGATTTAAGTGAGTAAAGAAATCATCAATTCGAAAATTTAAAATCGGCAGGTAAAGGTTGTTCTCTCTAAATACTTTAATATTGTAATATAAATGTAAATAAAAGTATAAATAGGTCTCAAAAAGAAAGTGTTTGCTCATTTTGTCTTTGTAAGGATATCTATGTCATAAGAATTTTACTATTTGTGATATGTTTGTAATTTACGGATAATGAAATAATAAGAGTACTGCTCAATATCCCATTTATACTTTTTCTTAAAATTTATGTTACTTAAAATTTAATTTTTAAAATGTGTTATAAGATTGTTAATCAGAAATTATTTGAACAAAATATTGATTTATAAACTTTATTATAATTTTCATTTTCAATTTCACCATATTTTTAAATTTTGTTTTATTATGTCTAGAATGAGTTTAAATTTTATTTAAATATTTTATCAAAATTTATAATCAAACATTGACACAATTTTGAATGTAATTTTTGTAAATACTATATTATTTAATTTTTTACTTTTATAGTTTTTTTAACTTTTTAACTTTTATAACTTTTAAAAAAATTTCTCACAATTAGATTTTCTATATAAAAACTTTTCAGAAATAAAAAGTTTGTTTTCCAGAATTCTTTATGTATTTATACGAATTCTAAAAATTAAAAAATTTCTCATTCTACAATTTTTAAAAAAAACATAGAAAAAGTTCGATATCTTTAAGAAATCGCTTGGTAAACTTCAAAATATGAAAAATTCTTAAAAATATGAAATTGAGAATTATTTTTATCAAAAAAAATTATCGATGTTAATCGATGTTTTCATGAATATCCTACATATTTTTCATAATAGAATAATCGCTATCTCACACACGAGCACACACACACACACACACATATATATATATATATACTTCTATAATATAATACGTTTAGGGTAAGATCACATTTTTGCGTTTTTTGACTGCAGGACAGAGAAAGTCTCGAATCTCTCTATCTTATAGCCAATCAACAGATTTGAAAAATTTGTACGACAAAAACGCATAAATGTAATTCCACCCTTACACGGAAACTACCGTAAATGTAAGTGATTTAGGACAGCGTTAACTTGGGACAATACTTTTGTTAAATTCAATCGTGGTATCCATTCATGGGTCTCTAAAGAAACGTTTAAATTTTAAATTTTCTTTAATGACTTTTGGATAGATACGACTGAACTTAACAAAAGTATACATGCTGTCCCAAGTCACCTACATTAATCAGGTTTAGTAACGTCCATAGTTATAACTTTCGAAATATGTACTCGTTTACATGAAGTGGATTTAAATTTTCCTACTGATGAAATAAAAATAATTGTATAATTCTTTGATTATGTTCATAGCATTCAAGGTATAGCATATATGTATGCTCCTTGCGTTTTACACGGCCTTTTAAAACCGGTTTTATAAGTCTACTTCATAATATCTTCGCTATCGGATGTAGAGTAACAACTAAATTGATGTTACATCAGTATAAACGATCGTTTACACAACATTTTACGTTAATAGTTATAACTACTATCATTACTAAATCTGCCGTGTAAGCATAATAATTGATAGAAGCATTGCTAAAATATTATTAGAAGACTCATTTATTTCTTTTCCAAGATCTCGAGAACGAAATATTTCTTCAACATATTTCATCAGATTCATTGTATAACGAGATGACTTCGGAGGGAACTTCAAATGATCTAAGTCTAGCAAAATGGGCGCCAGAAACGCCTACTGTCCAGGAAATCATCCAATCTATGCAGAATTTCAGTATGTCGGACTATACTGTATTCGCTGCAATGTTGGTTGTATGTGGCATTGTTGGTATTTACTTCGGCTTCGTAAAGAAATCCTCGGGCGAAGATGAATATCTGGTCGGCGGGAGGAATATGAGCACATTTCCAATCAGTCTCAGTTTGTTAGCCAGTTTTATATCAGGTATAAATACATTTCGTACTTTGTTCTCTATTGCAAATAAATTGAAGCAGGGAAAGTTATTTTTTAAAAGTAACAAATTACAGTTATTCGTTACCGAGTCAAAAAAGTAATTAACAATATTAAGTTACCGTTACTAGTTATTGATTTTTAAAAGTAACTTTGTTACACATACACACACGCACACACAGTTACCGTTACTTAAAAAGTAACGAATAATTATTTTTCCGTTACTTTTTTAAAATCTGCAGTTTTTTAAAATAAGTGCTAAATTAAAATCAGTTAAAAAATGTGTTTTTGCAATATTCTTTATTTAAATGTAATAAAAGCAACATGCAACAATATGACACTAGTTTTAGCTTTAGTTTTTTTAAAAACATAATTTTATAATTCTGAAACTTGTAAAATATGCGGTAAACTGAGATATATCTGTCCTATATATATCACATAGAAGTGTAAAATAATTCTTGAAATAATGGCCGTATATTTCTCAGCTGTGAAAAATCGTTGCAGGAGCGCGGGCGTTACGGCAGTTGACAGCTTTTAATTCTTCTTCTTCTTTTTCTTCTTTGTATGGCGTATCCCAGGTAGAACACGGAGTCATAATTAAGTCATAATGGTATTACAGAACGTCATCATGACGTCATTTGATACCTAAAAATTGACTTATAAGTGACGAATGAGGTCATGATGATGTCCTTGTGACTTCTGTGTTCTACTTGGGATGCCTCTCTATATGTTGAAATGATTTGGTCAATAACGAAATCGAGATAAAAAATGTTAATAATGACGCAATTGTCCAAAAAATGTCTCTCTCCCTCCCTCCAAACACTAGACGCCTGTGTCTGCATAAGCGCTTAGTATTATTATATAATATATAATGATAAATAATATAATTATTAGGTCGAAAATGGAGGTCCTTATTGCGCTACTTCGATATATCTAAAGCTTTAATATCCGCCTCAGTCAAGCGACCTCTCGAAACTAATAGCAGTTGACAGCTGAGTATTTCAGGAATTATTTTATATTTCTACGTAACATAGATATCAAATAAATATCTCAGTTTGCTACATATTTTATAGGTTTCAGGATTACGAAATTACGCTTTTAAGTAAAAACTTAAAAAATGGAACTTTACGTAGCAAGTAATTTATTGTAATTTCCCCCTCATCATCGCGAGAGAGAGCTAAGTCTTAATATTTGTGTGAATACAATATATATCCAATTCTACAATCTATATGCGCCAATTAAATTTTCAATCTTGAAACGTTATCCAGCTGATATTTTTCATAATAAATTTTTCACAATATTTTAAAATGTTTATCGTAAATATATAATTAAATTACATGTCAATTTAATTTTATAATTTATTGTTTTTAAAAATTCTTTTTTTATGAAAATTATATCATATTGTATAGGTTTAAAATCCGGAAAAAAATATTTCATATATAATTATATAAAATTACACATAATTGTATTTAAAAAATGGACATATTTTATATATAATTATATATAAAATGTCCACACATTTTTTCCCGGGAATACAAAAAATTTTTTTATAATGATAAAATTCGTTACCGTTACAAAAAAATGTAACTCCGTTACCGTTATTTAATTACCAAAAACAAAATAGTAACGCAGTTACAAGTTACCAAAAAAAGTAACTTGTAACTGTAACTTCGTTACAATTAATGAGTTATTTTTCCATTCTCTGAATTATAGTATGTGTGTGTAGAATTTATACATATACATGCAAGATATAACATTATTTTTTAAATATTTGTTATTTATTTATTCTTGTTAAATATATAGAGTGTAACTGAAATAAGGTGACAATGCGTAACTTCGGGGCCGAGCTCCTTGTACCAATAGATGAAAAAAAGATTCGAACAAGACGGCTCGAATTTAAACCGAAAAGTACGTGCATTTGCGATTAAATGGTCGATATTGACGAATATAATTAAAGATTTTGTTTATAAAGAATTGTGCATTGTCTTCCGCACTGATTCCTATAGCCATTTTATTTTGATTTTAATTATATTTTGATTTTAATATTATTTAAATATATGAGGAGTCCATGAATGACAATTGAGTTGACTATTTTGAAATGTTAATATTTATTTTTTTCAATTTTTAGCTAAAACAAATGTTCGAAGTGTTTCTCACTTGATTCAATACACGTTTGAACACGTTGGATCATAGACTATCGCACTCTTTCAAAGATTTCAGGGCAATTGCGAATCTTATCACAAGCATCAAAGAATTTATTCCGAATTACGTATGAAGCGCATGATGCATCATTTGTTCTTGTTGTCAAATAATAAAGAAGGATAAAACGATACATCATGCGCTTCATGCGTAACTCGGAATGCACTCAAAGATACATTGGCGTAATATATCTTCATTGGCGATTGAAATTTCATAAACTAAAAACTTTAAATGTCTCCACAGATAAAAATCTAGAGGATTTAAATAAGAGGATCATGAGAGTCATGCAACTGATCCTGCAAACCATTTTAAACTGTATCTCGGTAACAGTGGATTTGCGGACACATATTAATATGAACTTTTTTTTCGTGTTTAGTATGGGGAGCTCTGTCCCGAAGTTTATTACCTTATTTTAATTACATCCTGTATATATTTATAGTATAAAAAATTTTTCATTAAATTATTAGTTGTTATTACAACATTGCTATTTTATTTTTAAATGGTAATAAATCACCAGATTAGATAAGAAGATAACGAAGAAGTTGTAAATATGCTGTCATTTATAAACGCTTCAAATGTGACAGTCAAATGTACATTACATGGATTATATTACGAAATATATGAGATATACAGGGTGAGTAAAAAGTCTCGGACCGATGAAATATCTCGAAAACTAAGCATTTCCGAAAGAAATGTCTCCAACAAAAGTTGTAGGATTTTAATTGATCTATTTACCGATCTTATCAGTTTGACCTTAGGTAGCGTCGCCAAGGTTATAACCCATGTCTCTGTTTAAGTTATCTGGATTTTTCTTGATTTCGAGAGCCTCCCTGTATTTCCTTGGAAAATATGATGCCGTTGTAGCTATGTACAGAGGCTGTCAAGGCTGGATCATAGTCAGGCCCTCAACTTAGCGCCGAGACACTACCGTGCACCCGATGTGTGTTGCTATCAGTTGCTATCAATATTTTAATTATGGAGAAAGATTTTTCAATTCGTAAATGCAATTAAAAGACTCGACTCAAGGATACTTAATCACACTTGATCGGTAATAGAGTTTAACTTCCGCATCCCTTTAAATATATATTTTTTGTGTGAATTTATATATATTCTAGTGCGCCGAAATGTTTTTGCATATATAAGCAAAAGCAGAATAGTAATATTACTTATTTCATTTAGTTAGTTCTTCTCTATTGGTTTTCCTAACGAAATGGACGCTAAATCAACTAAATATTGCAATAATGATGAGTTTTAGCAGTTTTTTCCTTTGAAAACTTAAAATGTATTTATCAATAAATAAAGTATAATTATGTAAGGAAAAGCAAGATGTTGCAAATGTTTAAAAGGTGATATTTTAAAAGAAAATCAACTTAAGCGTATTTAACAAAAATACGATCTTGCGATATTAAATGATAAATGATATACTATATACATAATAGATGCATCCAGAAACACGACCGCTCACTGAGCACTCAGTAAGCAGTCGTGATATTAAATGCACCCAATATCTTCAGAACGTTTCGAGACGGAAATGGCATGTCATGAACACGTCCTCATTATCCTAGACGTCCAGAGGATATCTAACAATAAGTGCTGTTTGGGTACCTAAAACACATACACACGCACTCACGCACGCACGCACGCACGCACGCACACACACACACCTATACACGTTTTAAAATTAATTACTCAAAGTATTTTAAAATATTACTTAAGACGGTCTTAAAATAAAAATGGACATGAATACAGCTATATCCTTTTTTCGAAGAATTATTACAGAAAAGTGTTGCATATCTAACCATTTTTACTTAAAATTAGAAAAATTGATATTCAGTATAATACTTATTGTCAGAGATTATTTAATTATTTAAAATCGAGAAAAAAAAGTTGGACTAAATATTTTCCGTATTTACTTATGTTCGCCAAAAATTATGAAACTTATTGTCATGAAAAATTGTATATATAGATATTATATATTTAAAGTAATTCCACGTTCTTCACTATAATTATGATTTTTTTACTTATATTTAATTAATGTGTAACAGGTATCTCGTTATTGGGTACACCAACGGAGATTTATGTACACGGCACAAGTTATCTATTCCTTTGTTGTGCGATCGTTTTTGTCACCCTTGTCACATCCGCCGTATATTTGCCAGTTTTTCACGATCTGAAACTCACCAGCACTTATGAATATCTCGAAAAGCGTTTTGATAAAAGGATGAGGCTACTAGGTTCAGTCCTGTTTTCTATCAGTATCGTGAGTAAAATCGGAAATCATATCTGTATAAATCCTGCCATAAATGTACTTCTAAACGATGTTTTATTTAGATAACTTGGCTTCCAATTGTCATCTACGTACCTGCATTGGCCTTCAATCAAGGTACATACTTTTCAAATAAAAGTTTAATAAAAATTTTGTAAAGAGTTAATCCAATAATTTCTAAATGTGCACAGTATTTGAAACTAATTGCCTGTTCACGTGTACATAATTTTAACTCATTAAAATAATCGTGCAAACATGGAATATGTTATTAAAAAAATCATTTTGAATTGTTCTATTTTCAGTTACCGGAGTAAACGTACACATAGTTACACCTTTTGTGTGTATCGTTTGCATATTCTACACTTGTGTGGTAAGATAATTAACTTTTTTAAAAAATATTAATAAAAACAAATGGAAGGTATAAGAAAATAATATAAACGCAGGTAATAATGCAAATATTCAAATTTAAATCAAATGTGTAGTTGCGTACATCTTATATACTTGCCTTCTTTATTTTTTTCTAATAAAAAGATATTTTAATTGAATTATACATCACATAATCTCTATAATACATATTTAGACAATAACTTAAGAAAAATTTTGGTAAAAATGAAGATAAGAGAAGCATCTCTAATAAGCTTGGGGTATTTCAGATTGTATAGATTGTAGACCACAATACACGTAGGATGCAGGATGCAGGACGCGAAAATTGAAGTTCACCCAACTTCCTGCATTCTAGAGACTCTAGAAATCTGCGTTCTGCGTTGTGCGTCCTACAACATATTATAATTAAAATACGTTAGATTTTTAATCTTGCAACTTGCGACCCGTGTTCTGCGTCTTATGTAGATCGAGCTTTATACTGTGCTAAGACTGCAGTGTTCGAATGTTGAAATTAGAAATTCATGTACGTAGTTTTAAAGAGAAAATACATCATAATTGAAAATATAACATGCAAAGAAGATAAAGTTATAGAAATTGCATGTTTACTTTCCTAATTAAAAAATTACGGTTCAAATCAAAATTTAAAAAAACTTTTAATTTTGAGATATTTCTACCAATCATGTAATGATATGTTAAGATTAAGGTCATCGAAAGGGTTTTTCTTTATCTTTATTTTTACCAAAATTTTTTATTTACTACAATTTTGTAGAAAAATATTATTTTATTTAGGGTGGTCTCAAGGCAGTAGTATGGACAGATTTCTTTCAGACTTTCATGATGTTCGGCTCCATGTTATTAATTATAGTCAAAGGCACAGCGGACGTTGGTGGATTGTCGCTAGTAATTCGAAGAAATCTAGAATCGGGAAGACTCGAATTTCCTGCGTGCGTCCATTAAACAATAATATCTTTAATTGATAATAGTGCATTATAAATTTATTTTTAATTTATTATGTGTTATTTGCATTCTATTCACTCTTTGTTCTTTCTCTCTCCAATGTTCAGAGATACATTCCGTCTAGTTTTAAATCAGAAAGAAAGCGTTAGGCTGGCGTCCTATGAGAGAAAATTTATAGCGGAACGGAACAGCGAGACCAATCACAACCATAGAAAAGAAAACAGAGTAATGACTGCAGACTTATGATTGGGGGGTCATGTTGTTCCGTTCCGCTGTAAACTTCCGCTCATGGGAGGCCAGCCTTACTACACATAGTCATTAAGAGGATGTGAAAACCGAATTTAACGGGATTCACCCGTGCATGCATTATAAAATAAACAGATAATGGGAGGTTCCCCTTTTACAGAAAGAGACTAATAGCACATAAAAAATATCTATGTCGCGCAATTGTGAAAACCAAAATTGTCACCCGAGCTTGACGAAGATTCCACCGAGGGGATAACCACTTAATGTAATAGTGGGACAGAGTCCTCGAAATCATTATAAAATTCATATGAAATCTCTATGTATAATTCGATAATTACATATGAAACTACAAGAAATCATTGTATAATATTAAATAAAATCGTATATTTTATCGAATGATTTCATATGTAGTGAAAAAAATTATTTGTAATCAGATGAAATCATATGAAATCATGTAATTTGTGGGACAATATTTCAGCTAGTGGTTACCCCCTTGGATTCCACTCTAAACGTAAGAAAGCAGGCGCTAGGTCACGCTATAAAACATAAAATTCGTAAAATAACTCTCCACGTTTTAAGAATGGGTCGTCTGCTTATTGTTACGTAGCATCACACTCACGATCAGCGACGATTTCCCTGCATTCGTTAGCTGTAAGAAAAATCGTAAATCTAACAATAATTATTTATTTAACGATATAACAAAACTTGTCAACCACCAATACTTATATTGTCGCATATCGCTTGGGGGAAACGGTATCAAGATGACAAATAAAATAATGAAAAATATAATCTAATTAACGTTTTGTGGTGCAATATTATTCGCATTTGAAAGAATACATGGATAGAGTTATTTACTATTCTTTTAATGAGCGCTTTATGATAGGGTCCTCTCAAGTTTTCAAAGAAAGAGAGGAAGGATAAAAAAAAAGAAGAAAATGGGAAGGAGCAAAACGAATATAAAATGAAGCAGGAAGAAGAGAGAGAGAGAGAGAGAGAGAGAGAGGAAGAAAGAGAGTATCATCGTTAGAATAAAAATAGATTAGAAATATACTAATTGCAATTTAAAGTATGATTATTGATTAATAGGACGGATTGGAGTCCTATGACGAGACACACAATTTGGGCGCTTACTATCGGTGGCTTCATACATTGGTTACAAATCACCGCTATTAATCAAAACATGATTCAACGATATTTATCACTTCCTACTTTACAATCAGCAAGAAGGTATTCTATTTTAATAAGTAAACTTATATATATACATATATAATAATAGAAAGAAAGAAAAAAAACGCATACATTATACGAGGCTACTTATATAAAGTGTGACAAGCCAATAATTCTAAAAAATATTTACCATATCAAAAAGTTGAGAAAGTTTTATATATTCGAGGGGCTCTTTAGGTTCTCTTATAGATCAAGGTCATTATTAAAAGGTTATTAATAAAACAATTTTTATGAAGATAATTGTTTCCCTTTACACAATCTGTTCCAAATAACGAGTGACCTTAACCTTCTGTCGCTGAAGAAAATAATTTTTATGAATGGAACATAATTTTTGAACACATAAAGTACATATTTCAGCAGTATTTCTCCTAGGTAGGTGAGAAGATGAGGTGGACCTCGCTTTGTGTAGAAAGTTGTGCGCCTCTAAACAGAGAGAAGACGCCTAGAGGCGCACGACTTTCTGCACAAAGCGAGATCCATCCCACTTCTCCCTTGCCTAGGGGAAATACTGCTGAAATATGTACCTTGTGTTAAAAAATTGTGCTCCTTTCATAAAAATTGTTTTGTTCATAACTTTATAATGAATAACGAGCAACGGAAAAGAATAATGACCTTAACTTCCTTGAGAGCAAGATCAAGGTTGAGGTCAATTGGTGGTCGTTTGAGGCTGGCTGTGTAAAGAGAAATATAATATTTACCGAACATAAGTCTAGAAACGCTTAGTTTTTTAAGGAGGAATTTTATGTTTAACACGTACAGTAATGCACAATCTTTCTTAAGGATGTGTGGGTAACATCTCAAAACATTACAAGAAATATAAAAATTTCGTTGATTGACATTTTAACGCCAATTTAATGTTATGATAATTTTTTGTATTGTTTGCGTATGTTTTTTTAAATTTTCTATATATATGTGATAAATTTTAGAAACATTTTTGTTGCAACATTTTAAATGACATTGCAAAATGCTTTCAGAAAATTGTTGCACTTTAAATATGAAAGGTTAAAGCCTTTCTGCAGAAAACGTTCCGCGACAATCAGTGCTGTATGTGCTCCTCCTGTATAGACAACCGTTACACAGCTAGATGGGGAGGAGTGAAAGAGAATATTCACATATCAGAATAAAATCAAAATAAATTGGATCCAGAAGTTCAGTAAATCATCATTTAGATACGTGAGTCTCTTCTTATCTAATTATGATAAGGGTTCATGACGTTGAGAGAGGATACTTATCTAATACTTATATCTCTTTATATTGTTATTTATACTTGACTTCCGTAATGAATAGGACTCAAATCTAAAGTTGAAACATTTGTGGTTAATTTAATTGATAAGTATACATTCCAATTGTTTATTAATTATATCTTATCGCCCTATAATGTATTGTCAATGTATTTAAACTACAAATGTTCGTATAAGCAATTTACTTTATATTCAATTTTTTAAAATAAACATTTAAACATTTGATTACAAAAATTGTTCAAAATGGTTTGGCATCATAGTTTTCGATCTTATACATATTCATTGTCAACTGTAAAGAATAAAAATTGAAAAAAATCTTCCATAATTCTAAAACTTAGCGATTTTAGCGTTTAATGTTATGTAAATAAAAAATGCTTGAATGTTCATTACGTGTAAATTCCTCCTATCTAAAAAAACTAAGCGTTTTTTCTAAAGAAACTAAGCGTTTCTAGACCTATGTTCATGTGAATTTTTTCAATATTTAGTCGATGGAAATACGCCCTTAGAATATTTAACATTTATTCATTTACATCCTGTATTAGCATTACAACTAAAGCGATTCAATTATTTGCGGAAAACCGTAGAATTTATATACTTTAAATTTTCGAAATTTAATAATTGCGCGCATCCCCTCCCGCGTTGATTCTTATTAGCCTTGAATATCTTTGTTATTATTATTTTAAGATTGAGAATCTGTTTTAAACATTTATTTTTATATTTTTTATATTTTCACTTCATTTTGACATGTTATTTATGCAAGAATAGTTTATTGATATTTCAACAATAATAATTTTATAAAAACTATATATTAGTAACTACTTTTGCAACCAATTTTGCGATATTTTTACGACACGTTCGTAACGCAAATTCTAGACATTAAAATGTTTTTACGATTTTAGTATATAGACAAATGTTTTCTTGATTAATACTTTGATGATAATTTTTTTAATTGATCATGTATAGTAAACTTAAAATATAATGTAATTTTATGTTTGGAAAATTAGACTTGTGCGAATGCAACAATAGTTAGATATAATTAATTATTATAGTTGTATTATAAATATATAATTATATCATCAAATTATCGTAATATAATAATAATAAAATCAATGTTTTTAATAACTATGCGTTTTAGAGCACTTTGGTGTTTTATGATCGGCGTAACAATATTGGTTCTTATGTGCGGATATTCTGGCTTGTTGATTTATGCCTGGTATCATGAATGCGATCCCCTTACGACTAAGGTAATATTTATTTATTTAGCTTTCATATCCAATGTTAAGGCTGCGATTAATTACTGATTAATTACTGATAAACTTTGTGTAACACAGTTAGCACGAGCCAAGGATCAACTACTACCGTTGTTAGTTATGAACGTTTTAGGAGACTTTCCGGGACTACCGGGCCTCTTCGTAGCTGGTGTATTTAGTGCCGCACTTAGGTAGATATACGTTATATACATATTTGATAAATATTCAGAAAAGAGGAGCCATTTCCAATGATCTTGATTTTGATGTTATCTATATGTTATCAAGTCCGATAACCTGACCCAATCCTTATCTGATTGTAAGGTGGACCTCGGTCGCGTGGAAAGTCGTGCGCCCCTAGGCAGGGGGAGGTAAAGCTCCATATTAATAGAGTAGCGTATTAGTTCGCCATATTGGACCTACTAACCAATAATACTAAGCGCTTATTGGACTACAGATAATTAGATCCAAAATGGCGGTCGAAATAGCCAATATTGAGGACAGTTGTCGGCATTTCAGCTCAGATCAAAGAAATGCGCTACTTTATTAATATAGAGTTTTAGGAGGAAGTCCTTCCTCTCTCTTTCTCTCTCTCTCGCTCTCTCTACCCCCTCCCTTCCTCCTCCGCCTCCCTTTCTCTCTTTCCTTCCTTCTCCTTTTCTTCATCCTCCTTTTTTTCTTTCGTCCCTCCCTTCGCTTCATTGTTCCCTCTTCTCTCTTCCTCTTCTGCTCTTTCTCTTCGTTCTTCTCCTATTTTTCCTCTTTTTTCTCGAAATGTATATATTTATTAAAATTAGTTAGAGATCTCTTTCTTTCAGTTCATTATCAACCGGTCTAAACTCCATGGCAGCCGTAGTGCTGGAGGATTTTGTTAAGCCCTTTATAAAGACTCCTTTTACGCCTAGGGGTGCTGATATCTTTATGAAGCTGACGGTTGTCGTTTTAGGAATAATTTGCGTTGCTCTCGTTTTCGTCGTCGAGCAGGCGGGCACTCATGTGTTACAGGTAAACATGGAGACATCAGTCAACAAATGCAAATTAATCTTCTTTTCATATTTGAATGTTATAGTTGTCTATGAGTCTAGGCTCCATTACCAACGGACCAGCCTTTGGCATTTTCAACATGGGAATGTTATTACCATGGATTAATGGCAAGGCATGTGTTAAAGATAAACTTCTTTTATGTTAACTTGATGAAAATTATATTTAAATTCATTGGTGAAAATAAATAAGTGATTTAATTAAATTCGCGACAGGGTGCTCTAATCGGAGGAATAGCAGGTTTGAGTTTCATGGGTTGGCTTGGTCTTTCTGCCGAAGCAGCTATCACCAGTGGAAAAATTAAGTTAATATCAAAATGTTAATATGTATATCAATGCGTATACAATATACAGTGTCTGCTAGCATCCGGATGAAATTATTAGATAATTTAAATGAATTAAATGATTCCAGTTTATTTTTTGTTATTCCCTTTGAAGGAATAATGATATTACGAATATTCCGTGACATTTACGCTGTTACAGATTCGATATGAAACCCGTAACCACAGAAGGATGTACTTATTCATTTCCACAAGTAGAGAATTTATTATTATCTGCACCACCAGATTCAATTTTGAACAACGTTGGAGAGTAAGTTAAATAATGTTAATTATACATAAAATAACTGCTCATAACTCTTAGATATTAAATTATTAATAGTTATTAATTATTGAAGTTAGTTTCTGTCGCCTTTGATTTTTACGTAACTTAAACCTTTCATTAATAAGCTAGAAATTGTTTTCTTTTAAAAATTATTCCTCTTTTTGCTAAGAGAAAGCTCATTTATTCTACAGAGAAGAATTACATTTTATACGTTCGAAATGTTCTTTAAATATTTGTTAATGACTTTTCTAAATTTTAACAGTTTCAAAATTCCACTATTTTGAATACTTGAAAAACATTTCTTATTTTTGTGTTAAGTAGTGTAGTAGCTATTACATTTAATAGGGAACCATTGGCATTGTTCCGGCTCAGTTATCTTTGGTATACCACGACTGGTGCCATAGTGACTATTAGTGTCGGTCTCATCGTAACTTTGATTACCTCCGAAGATATTGAAAAGTTAGATCCGATGGTCGTAGCACCATTTATAAGAAAATATTTAAAGACTTCAAAGAGAGATATTACACACGAAGAACTTCAGCAAGTCAAGGTTTTATTATTTTTTTATTAAACTACATTTTATTATTTCTTAGCTAAATCCATTTTGATTAATAACTACATTCTGTTTTGCTGTAAAAGATTAATAAGAAAAATTTAACTATTTATTAAATTAAATATACACCTATGTTATATATTTGTATATAACATTACTTATATATATATATTATTTAATGTACGGTACTATTTAATGATTATTGATTTTTTGTTTACAATTAGGTTGCAAAGTCGAAAGAAATGATAGCGTCTTGTACTATCAATGAAGATGATAAATTATTATCACAAGGAACTCAAGGACATGATATAATAAATAAGTAAATATTAATATAAATTTTAGTTTTCAATTCAAGATATGTTAAAAATGGAACATGAGTTTGTATTTCAATAATACTGATTTGTGTATCAAATAATCGTATTTAATTAGAATCGTATTTAAAAAGAGCTTTGTACAAAGTTTGTATGTACAATTCCATATATTTCTTATATGATATATATAGCATATTGTAAACATTATTGTGAATATATAGATAAATAATATATATATGCGTGTATATATATATATATATATAGTATTTACTTAAGCACATTATAAATAATAAAAAATTGAAAGATATCTAATAATATTTTTAATTCTTTATTGTGTTATCCTATAAGAAGTACATGATAGGTACATATAGAAGTATGTATACATACGTCAGTTTTCTTAAAATTTTTTTGAATTAATCCTAGCCAGAATTTCGCTATTATCAAGGAAATATCATCTTTCTTCTTGGTATAATATTAGAAATAATGAAAATTCGACTATTTTAGCTCCTTGTACTTCCAAAACTAGCTCTATGCTGAACTTAAATTTTGTCTGAGATTAATGTCTTATCATATAACATTATTTGGCATACAGTTCGATTCAAAATTCGAGGGCCATCAAAATAGGCGAAAAAATGTGCCGATTTCGGGGTCATTCTTTTCTTTGATTGTACGAAAGTACAATGTTATTTAACGTACGGAATGTGTGTGTGTGTGTGTCTAACACTTATTTAAAATTACAATCAAACTATTACAATTTTGTACAAATTTTATGGACGGCATCGTTTTCTTCGTGGATTACGTCGCTGAGAGAATATCTTCTATCAAATGGAGAACTTTCTTTATTTTCTATATCATTACGTCGTCTATAACTTATACGCCGCGCTATTACTGGAAAAAATAAATTAGTGTCTAATTCGCTGTATTGATTCTGGATGAATAAACGAGACAGATTACTGATGAATAGTCCAACTAAGAACGTTATTAAGAGTCCGAGAAAGGAATACCACATGTACGAAATGCGATACAAATAGAAGTACGAGCTGTCGTTGTTGCTTCTGAAAAGAAGGTAAAACAATCCGTTAGACAATCTTATGTGAGTATACATAGAATGGTTAAAACTGAAATATATATTATAGATATGAAAATTAGACGAAATACAGATTTGAAAATACCCTGACAGCAAAATCTGTTGAGAACATATTTGGAAAGTGTCTGCTATTATAGATAGAATGTATCAGAAATATCAGAAATATAATAGATAATACAGTATTAAGATCCTCTATAACCTTTTCTGCAACTGACAAGGTTAGACAATAGATTATGGCCGCAAATAAAAAAAACATACTTTGTTATTGCCGTTACTGTTAGCACATTTCTACCAAATATGCGACAACCTTGTCGGTAAAGTATATGACAGAGAAGTGGTGAAAAGCAAGCAGGTCTGTTCAACGCGTTGATAACAAATTGACAGCAGATCTTAAGCAATTTTGCTATTACAAAAGTGTCAGCGTTTTTCACGAAGGAATACAACATTATCTGTTGGTCAAAATATATTTGACACCATGTTGTCGGCGCGTTAGACAACAGATTTGACTTGCATTTAGCATCAACCTGTCATCACATTGCTATTGTCAAATTTCTTCTGGTGTTGGTTTCAATTTGACTTTAAGATATGTTCTTCAAATATGGTTTAAGTTGGAAATCCTATTGCGGACACAGTAGGCTCTAATTTTGACCATATTATTCCGCTGGAATTTATTGCCAATTTTATATTATCTTGCATACAAAATGTTTGTTGGGATGTTTATAGAATCACATTTAATATGCGTCTCGGAGGTCTCAAGATGACTCGAAAATGTAGCTAAAACATATAATTAAAATCTTATCGCATTAAACATTGTTTTTGTATGAAACGATGAGCAAAATCTATAATCGTTTCATAAACGTTTAAATAATGGATTCCATTTGAGTGTTTACGAAATGACAGATTCTACCTTTTAGTCGACACACAATCTTGTTATTAATTTATACAAGCAAAACACAAATTTAACGGATGCAGACAGTACTGAATCTATTACAATATCTTAGCAATAATGAACGATTTATTAGGACTGTATAATGTGAATACACAACATGCAAGAAAGGAAGCCTCTACCGATTCTAATAAATCGTTAATTATTGTTTATACAAACTGTCTAAAAAATGCGTGTTCCTACGGTTATTGCGAAGAATATTACTAACAATGAGGTCTCGGTGGTTTAAAGGCTTAGGACGCTTGCACGGAATTCAGCGTACAATTCAAGAGATACAAACGTTGTATATAAATTTATATGTAATTATTTAAAGCATTTAAGATCCAGCTTTGACCGTTATGGGCCTTATTTCTTGCTTGTTCAATATCTTAACAAATATATTGCCAATGTGTTGTCATACTAAGTGCAGTTTGTTTACTAAATAATTATGTTGGACCATTAAAATTGTGTAGAACACTCTAGAGCATGATGACAACGTCGCAAAAAAATATCAACGTTTTAGCGACTAAGCTCGAGCGTCCTACAATATGTATAATTATTTTAATGATCCCACATATTACTTGTATTTGTCTCTATTTCCATATTTCCATTTTTCAGTAAAACCATTCTTTTCGTGTAATTATTTTCGATGAATTACTAACTTGGAAAAACTCATGACGTTCTGCACAATGGACATCGTTATATTTGTATTATTCTTATCACAGCCTTCAATAGTAGTTGGTAATTTAGGTGGTACAGGACGTGGATAACCAAAGGCGATCCAACATAGAAATGAAAATGCCGTGAGAGCACCAATTATCGCACCACCTTCCGTTGCCGATTCCGTGGCCATACCAAGAGTAAAAATACCTAACAACGGACTGCCGACAACTCCCATGATAAGCATTACAGCCTAGGGTACCAGAGATATTTATTTTCTCTTTATCGGTCTTACATTTAGATATAGTAACGAGCATTACCTGAATCAGACCACCTATCAATTGCGCTAAAAATGCCAGTGCAATGGAAATAACACCGATCATGAAAGCGAGCACTTTAACGCTGGAGCTTGACTTTGTAGGGGACAATTCATGCCCACTGTACATTCTATATAGGGGTTTCAGATAATCTTCCAATGTTATTGCCGCCAGAGAATTTAGCACAGCAGAAATTGTGCTGAGGCTTGCGCTAAAAATGCCTAAAAATCCATAAACAGATCAAGATTAATTAATGATAAAATAAATTGATAAAAACATGTTACTGTCAAGCGCGAAAATTGATACTCAAATATGAAAACAAAATTTAACGCGATAAGATTTCAATTACATATTACAAGTTATTAAAGTTTCCAAATCAATTATAGTTTTGGCTACATTTTTTAATCATTTTCAGATCTCAGAAACGCATAATAAGTGTAAAAGCTCTGAATATACTATAAAGTTATATCGCTCGCGCACGAAGTAATTAATTAATACGTATGTTCAAAAATTAACGAAAAATAGTCCAAGAACAGTGTGTCAGTGTGAAAAAGGAAATAAATAAATATCTTCTTAAAAAATAAATAAATATCTTCTAAGGTTTAGAAAAAATTGAGTAAAAGTTAAATAATGTAAATAATCTAAGTGTAAGTATAGATAAAAATGTCATACGTTTACAATTTACATAATGAGTCAGAAGTTAAAATGAAAAATATATATAATATGATGCGTCTGCATCTAACTTGCGTCTGACATGCGTCATACTATGCATATCTTCAATTTTAACTTGTGACTCGTAATAATGTAGAATGTAGACGTATGATTTTTTTTATTTATATTACTTCGATTTACATTATTTAACTTTTACTCTGTATGTAAACGTATTTCTTTTAGTAGTTTCTTTTTATTCACACTAACTATTCTTTGGATTATTTTTCATTAATTTTTGGACATGCGTTATAATCCGACCCTTACAGCATGAAATATTGTAGCAATATTTTATTCTATATACGGATAATACTATATTGCAATATTTCTTATAAAATATTAAAGTTAGAATATATTGCAGTATAATTATAAAATTTCAATATATTGCTACAATATTTCCTACAAAATATTAAAATTATAATATTGCTGCAATGCTTGTAATACTATGTTGCGTACTATTGAAATATTGCTACAATATTTCGTGCTATGTATGTAGCCTTGATTATGCTTAAAAAAAGAACCCATGATTAGTAACGAACCCACGATAAAGCACGTATGCTACAAATTTATTTTAAAATTGTCTTAATTACGCGTAAAATTATATTTCAAGCATAGCTATTTTCATATATTTTTATTTCCATAATTTGTAACATATGTATAATTTCTATCAGACATCACTCACAAGGCTCATATTCGATTCTCGATAAAAGTATTACCTGCAATGAAGAGGCCTGGTAAGCCAGGAATGTTGGACATCGTTTCCATAACGTATAATGGCATAATCATATCAGGTGAAGTAATTCTTTTTTTGAGAAGTGGATCGCAATTGTGATATTTACTGTATATCGCTAATCCTGAGAAAGAAATCGTGATCCAGATAAGTGTCAGAATAGGCAGAGACAGCCACATGGCTCTTTGCGAAGCCTGCATATTTCTGAAAACAAAATTTAACGCTTTCTTTAATTTTTTAAATCATATAATTTGATGAATAAACATATAATTGATATTAAAAAAGAAAATAATTTAATAACGTGAACACAGGAAACCAAAATTATATGATTAATTTGTCATCTGATAAGTAAAATGTTACAACCTCTACAGCACAAAAGTTGCAGTAACATTGCTGCAACATTGCGTGTTACAGCAATATTGTAGAGATTTTATAGCGTATTACTGCAGATTCTGTGCTGTATGGGAAGTACTCTAATGTATTTGAATAATAATAAACGATTTATTAGAACCATATAATGTGAACACAAATAACTAAGAAATAATGTCAATACCGAAGCTGGACGTATCGTAGCTTAACGTACTG